GAGCAAAAATTAGTAACTAATGTTTTATTAGAAAAATGAGCCAAATTACCAAGTAAAGAAATTTTAATCAGCACTTTATGTTATTATCTCAATTTTCAACTTAGAAGGTTAGTCAATATCTTAGAAAAAATTAAATCAGCCAAAGCAGCAAATCAATAAATTAAATATGTCAACAGAACCAGAAAAAAGTATCTCAGAATCAGAAGAAGTAAAATTCAGTAAAGAAGTAAGTGAAGTTGGGGAAAAGATTGAAAAGTGAAATTTAGGAAAAGTCAGCGAGTTAATAGAATGAATAAAGAAAAAATTTAATATTCAAGAAACTGCCGCAGTTCAATCAACAGCCACTACTCAAGAAAGCGAAAAAGTTGAGGAAAAAGGTGGTAATGTTTCAATAAAATTAGTGGAGATAGGTGAAAAAAAACTTCAAATTTGGAAGGAAATCGTAATTATTGTTGAAGAAATAAAAAAAGAAAAAATTAGCCCTATCAAAGCTAAAGGTTTAACCGAAAAAGAGGATAAAATTATTTTGGAAGATGTTGCCCGGGACAAAGTAGAAGGCGAAAAAGGGATTAAAAAACGATTGGAAGCTTTAGGAGCCAAAGTTGAAATTGTTGAAACTAAATAATTTTAATTAATGTCATATCGAATAATTAATTCAGGAAAAAATTCACGTCGTGAATATGTAGGTGCTAATCGTTCATCTCTTTTTCAAGGCCTACCCGAACAAGATTATGTCAGAGAGCGGAAACTATCTTACTCCGAATTTCTCTCCAAAAGGTTACCACAGTTATTATCTTTTTATTTTCCGGCCGAATTTAGTGACTATAACAACGACGTTAGAATCGAGGTTAAAGATATGGAATGTCGGGAGCCGGAAACTGTCGTTGAAGATTCGAAAGGAAAAAAAAAAATTAGACCCCAAAGTGAAGCAGAGGCTCGGGCTAACTCGCTTACCTGAAGCCATGTAATTTCTTTTAATTGGAAAGTTGTTTGGGATTTCCACATTAAAAGTAAAATTAAGTTAACTGATGATAATAACTTAGAAAAAAACATTGACCAATGAGTGAAAGACAGTTTCAAAATTGGCAAATTCACTTGCGAGAGGAAGCCTTTGTCTTCTTCAGAATTAAAGTCCTTATTGATAAAGACTGAAAAGCAGTTACAAGAGTTATCCGAGCAAGACCGGCAAAAAAAAACCGGTTTAGTGGAAAAATTAGTTAGCAAAATTGAATCTCTCAAAAAGAAGAATAGCAGTTATCAAGAGTGATTAATAAAAGAAACCAAAGGAAAATTAAAAATAATACTAGAAATCTTGGAGCAAAAGGAAGATGGTTTGACCATTAGTTTTCATTATAAGCAAGACCAAAAAGTAGATTTCTGCGTTCTGCCAAAAATGACTTCACAAGGAGATTTCATTATCAATGGTCATCATAAAGTGGTAGTTTTTCAATCAGTGCGGGCTCCGGCCGTTTATTATTATTTTGGAGAAAAAGAAAATAAGTTTTTGGGAGAAATTATCCCTTTTAAAGGACCTTGAATTAGTGTTTATTATAGTGCTAAAAATCCGTTGGCGATTGAAGTTAAATTTCTTAATTCGGGGCTAGTATTTAACTTCCTAGATATCTTAAAAACTTTTAAAGTTTCCCCAGAACTTCTGAAAAATTTGTTTGATGAAGAAAGTTTAAATACTGATGGTTATCAAGAGATTAAAGAATTAGAAATTGGAACTAGCACAACCAGTTTGCCACGCTTTTTATTCACGAGTAGCAAGGGCAATTCTTACTTTAACCTAGGAAAGTTAGGAAGAAGAAAATATAACCAAAAAATAGACCTTATTCAACAATTAAAAGGTCAAACCTTAGCCGAAGACTTGTGTGATAAACAAGGCAAGGTAATTTTGAAAAAAAATACCGTTTTAACGGAAATAAATCTTCAAA